CCCTCACGCATCGGCCCATGGCATACGCGATACGCCTCCTTCAGGTGGTGGTTTGCAATGATCGGCGTCGAGGGCGTGACGTTTGAGCTCTTCCTCGGCTACGTCTTCACGCCGCTCGCCTACATGATGGGCGTGGACGCGAGCGAGTGCCTCACCGTTGGCAAGCTGATCGGGGTCAAGATCGTCCAAAACGAGTTCGTGGGCTACTTTCAGCTCGGCGAGCTCATCGCCGCGGGAGGTGGCTGCCACACCCTTCGCCAGCACACACGTGTGATGGCTCTCTCCGCCCTTCCGCTGATGGCATGCCTACCCCGCTTGGCGCGTCAGTGCACCCTTCTGCCCGTCCTCTCCCTCTCCGCCCGTGCACCACCCTGCCGCCGCCGCCGACGAGCACCCACGCCCGTGCCGCGCCCAGGGCTCTCGGAACGCGCCCAGACCATCGCGACGTACGCACTCTGCGGCTTTGGAAACCTGGGCTCCATGGGCATTATGGTCGGGTGTCTCTCTGGCATGGTGCCCCGCATCCGCACGGCGGTGACCCGCGACGTGTTTCGCGCGCTCCTCGCGGGCAATATCGCCTGCTTCTCGACCGCGTGTGTCGCCTCCGCAATCCTGGCGGACGCGGGCAGCGAGGCTCCGTCGCAGTACGAGTGCCCCTGCTTCAAGAGCGAGTGCCCCGCCCCTTGACCCGCCCGGTCCTATAGGACGTGGCAGCCCGCGCGCCCCACACGCCTTCGTCTAGCTCCGTCGAGACCGGGAGTGAGCGACATAGCTTTGCGATGCGTTGTAGTATTGGGAAGGGTGGGATGTATTCCCTTCCTGGTCCTCGAGATCGGGAGCGGTGTGCGAATCGTTGCGGTATGGGGAAGGGGGGAGGGGAGGCGTGCGAGTGTATTCCTCCCATTTGCATTCCTGGCCCTCGCGGTCGGGGGAGTGCACTGTCGGCTGCACTGTCTACCCAACCTCAATTTTATATAGCAGAGCCCGCCCCCAGTCCGGTCTAGCGGAGACTGGACAGGCGCTCGTGCGAGCCCTACCGCATCCGAAAGTCGCAACTGAGGCGGCGGGCCCCCGTGGCGTGACCCAGCGGAGCACTCCTTCGCCGCTCGTCATGATCGGTAATGTCCGAGCAGCCGCGCGGACGGCTTCATGTCGCTCTCGTCGAGAGCGTTTTGGCGGCCCGGCGCGCGGCGGGTGGGAGAATCTGTGTCGTCTGATGTTTCACCACGGACTGGATGCGACAGGGATGGACGATTGCGCGGAAATCCCATTCCTGAAAAAAATAGCCGCCGGCCTTGGGTTCTCTGTTTTCTTTCTTTCTTTCCTCCAAGAGCGATTCATTTTCCGCGTAAGGATCATCTAGCCGGCCCCGCCGATGAGCAATGTCACCAGTCACCACCATGGAGCATGGTCGGCAGGTTCTCGGCAGTGTCTCGGCAGGCTCTCGGCAGGGTCTCGGAAGTGTCTCTGCACCGGGCCGGCCGTCGCCCCCCCAACGCCCTTTGCACGCAGCGCGTTCCACTCCCCGAAGCGCGCGCCGTGGAAGAGGGCGGCCTGTCTGCGGAGCGGCGCAGCGCGACGATCAGCGGCGACCACGCGATGAACTGTGTGCAGCAATCGTCTGCGCCGTGGTGCGTGTGGTCGAGCTTGAGCTCGTACCCGAGCGTCTCCATGCCAAGGCCGAGGCCGTCGTCCGACGAGAAGCCTGAGCGCCGGGACCCGTTCGCGCCGCGCCCGAGGCCGACGGCGATCGCGCGGTGCACGTTGACCGTCTTGTGTCACTGTGTACGTCACATATCGGTCTTGATAACAAGCACGGTCAATCCGTCAAAGCGATACACTCGTTCCTATCTCGCTGGAGGGCTGGCACGGAGCTCTGTGCCGACAAACAGGAAGAGCCGAGCGGCAAGAAGGCTGAAGGGCTCGATGGTCATGAGATGTGCGAGTGGTCAGTGGAGCGGGCCACGCAGCAGGCTCCTCGCGGGGCTGGGCAGCGATGGGCGCATCCCGCTCGCGAGGCTGCGCCCCGAGCGTACGTGTAGAGACTAGAGTCGTGATTGCCGAGCGTCTCCCACGCTCCGACGTCAGAGGCGGAGGCTGATCTCGGTTGAAGACTCCGGCGAGGCCGCACGCGGGGTCCGCTCGATCTCGCCAGAGTCGTTCTCAGGCACGTCGCTGACAGTCCCAGATTGCTCGCCGCTTCTACGACGGCGAAAGGCAAAGGCAAGCCGAGGGGTGACGCTCTTCTTGGTGAAGGTCTTCAGGCGCTTGTCGGCGTGAACCACCACGCCCGTACCGGCGAGCTGCTTGGAGGTGTTCATGATCCGGTCGAGCCGTTTAGGCCACAGAGGCTCTGCGCCCATGACCACCAGCACCTGCGTGACAGGACGCCAGAGTGGTTTGGATTGCACGTGAGAGTGTTGGACCGGGCGGGGGAGGTCGCCGTGAGGGCAAGGGCCGGGGAGGATGTCGTGAGGGCTAGGGTTCCGGGGAGGTGTCGTCGGGACGACGGGAGGCCCCTCACCCCCTTGACCAACTTGAGGAAAGTGCCAAAGATGATGATGGACCACTGCGCGAGCGTCACCTTCTTTGTCCCCTTGGAGATGAGGTAGACCTTGACAAACAGCGAGTCGTACAGCAGCAGCAGGATCGGGACAAGTACGGCCGCGATCCCGGTGTAGAAGGCTGGCCCCGCCTGGCTGGAAGCGGCGCAATGGGCGCTTGCGGCGGCGGAGGCAGTCTCGCTGAGCGCTATCGAGGCAGCGATGCCCTCCAAAAGAAACTGGATCGCGTTTACCCAGCACGTAAGCCGGTCCTTCATCGGCGAGATAAGAATCAGCCAGGCCGCAAAGCTTATCTTGATCGCGATGGTCGCTCGGGCAACGTCGGTCTTATCTGTAACTGCCCCGGCGATGATTCCCAGCGTAATATTGACCGTCAGGGTGAGGATGTTGTACGAGACGTAGGCAAGGCGGTTGCCGCGGCCGTCGCCGAGAAGGGGCTGGAGCTGATCCAGCGCGTCCGAGTCGCGTGCACGTAGCAGGGCGAGCGGTCGCGAGAGGAGCCTCTCGGTGCGTGCGGGCTCCTCGGTGGCCTCCTTGCCCGGCTGGAAAGATCCGCGCGTGCGCTGCCGGGTCGCAACGTGCGCGAACAGATTACGGAAGCCGCGCAAGCGCGACTGCAAAAATCTGAGGAACGGGTCTTGGACGTCGGCCGGCGAGGAGGCGGCCTCTGCCGGCTTGTACACCTCGTTTGAGAACCGCACGTAGAAGCGGACAACCATGGCGACGGCAGCAAAGTAGATCAGGCCAGTCAACACCAAAATGACGACCGCGGGCCACTTGCAGCGCTCGCCACAGGAGAGGTCAGCCTTCAATACCCCGATCGAGACCTTGACGAGGCCGGTGGCGAGGATGCCTACAAGGGAGACAACAGAGGACTCAGGCAGTGCACGTTCGTCTCACAGAGGGAGCGTGCGACGCACTCCAGCCGTAGAGGAGGCCATTTGGAAACACGAGCAGGGCGGGAAGCGGCACAAACTCGGCGCTCTCTTGGTCCTGGGGAACGGTGACGGCGTTCACCCCTTCGTCGGATGCAACCAGCACCCTGTTCCTCCTCTCGCGGTAGTACTTCCGGTTGACGACGTGAGGCCACCAGTAAAGCGGGCCGACGACGGTGAAGAGGAGCAGCGCGCCCATCAGGATTCCAGTGAAGGTTAGCTCATCATACAGCGCGTCGAGCGGTGGCGTTTTCGCTGGCGGAGCGGGCGAGGGAGGGCATGGCGGTACTCCGGGCGGAGTTGGCGACGCCGCAGGCGGTGTGTTTGGAAGGGGCGGAGCTGTTGGTGGCAATTTGTCCACCGAGCTGCCGCCGCCGCTGTAGATGCCGAACTGGCCCAATGTCCATTTCAGCTGATCCGCCGCCGCTTGGTCCGTGAGACCGCCTTGCAGAACGAAGCGCTGCGCGCCGAGCAGCACCGGGACAGCGCCCACGGGGCTAGAGCCCAGGGTGGAGGACATGAGCGACGCGACGACGGAGGTGCTCAGGACCGTGGTGATGGGGGCCGCGTAGTCGTCGATGGGGTCGGAGGGCGGCGGCGTGTCATCGGGCTCAACGGGATCGCTCGTCGTCATGGGATTCTCGAGCGCGGGCGTGAAACGGACAAAGAGCCCTTCCTCGGGCGGCGCCCGCAGCTCGACGAGCTCGACGGCGCCAATTCGGATCACCGTCGCCCCGAAGGCTACCGAGGCGGCCGCCGCGCTCCCGAGTACCCCGATGGAGATGGTCTGCGCTAGAGCCTCAGCCTCCGAACGGTTAGAGACGCTAATCTTCACAGAGACGAGCACGTGGTCGTGGTCGTAGCCATGGTCGTAGCCGTGGTCGTCGTGGTCGTCGTGGTCGTCGTGGTCGTCGTGGTCGTGAGTACAGTCAGTCTGGTACGCAGCGGTGGAATCGTAGGCAGTCTCGCACTCCTCCTGATCACCCAAGTCCATGCAGTTGCAGTTGGAACAACACCACTCAAGTTCGGGCTCGACAAAGTCATAGTCACCTCCGGGACCACAGTGCCCACGACACATTCTCTGAGGGTGGTCGTCGTGGTCGTCGTGGTCGTCGTGGGAGCCGGCGCCAATTTCTTCCTCGGCCTCGCGTGGGCATCGAGTGGGGACGTGGTTTGGCACGGAGCTTCTGGGGCGGCAAAAATCATCGTATCCACCATCACTCAGCAAGCCCGTTTCGCTGTCAGCCACGCACACCAACCCAGGCTGGCATCCGTCGTCACAGTCGCAATCGCCTTGGTTGACCGCGCAGGGTGATTCGGGTTCGCAACACTCATCTCCACACGATACTGCCGTCAACCGTCTTCCCTGGGATGACGGCGAGGGCGGGGTCGAGGGCGGCGGCGGCGGTGCCGGTTCCCCGCCTACAATGGCCACCACGGAGACATCGTCGAGGTTAGCGCAGCTTCCTGCAACTGTACTGAAAGAAAGCGCTGTCAGCGTGCTAACAGCAACAAATTCCGCTGAAAAGCGGTCCCAAGTAGTGGTTGACTGCTGCGCCGAGCCTGTGGTGGCAAACGAATTGCTGTATATCTGGGTGCCTGGCGCAGTTCCGTCCTTAATGCTCAAGACTATTTCTTGCCCTGAGGTTGGAGCTACCCACGAGCCGCCGCTGGCTAAGAAGCTGACGTTGTAGCGGAAGCCCGGGGTGGTTTCCTGCCCAAACTCGATACCGCCGACATTTGAGACACAGTTACCTTGTATGTGGAGAAAGTACTCGCCTTCGCCACCCGATGCAGGGTAGAGCGAATGCAGTAAAAAGACGTATTCATTGCTTGACGACGCGGCAGTTTTTTTGAACTGGTGCTGACTGCTATCTCCGTAGAAGACACGCTCGCTGCCACTTCCCGCGTAGTATTCGAACCCGTCCCCGAAGCCCGCGTACGCCGGCGATGGAGGCGGCGGCGAGGGCGGCGGCGGCGAGGGCGGCGGCGGCGAGGGCGCGGACGGCGGCCCCCGCGGCGAATTACAATTCCCGACCTGGAAACCGGGGCGGCGCAGCAGCTGCGCTTTCAGAGACGGGCAGTTGTAGTCGACCCCGTCGTGCCAACCCCAAACTCCGATGCACCGGAGCAGCGGAAAGTGACGATCGGCGTCCCATATCATGCTTTTCTGGTTGCCAAAGTTGCCGTTTGTGCTGCTATTGGGGCCTGCCACCCTGAAGTGGCTCGTGACCATAGTCAAGCTCGCAAAGGGCGAGACATCCCGGAGCACCGTGTTGCCGTCGATTTCCAAAATGTTGCTGACAATGACGAGGTTGCCAAATCCATTGATACTCCGGAGAGTGGGATTGTTCGTAATATCTACGCCACCAGAAGAGTGAACCGCATCGAAGCGCGTGCCGTTGGGGTGCGTCGGAATCGACTCAATCAAATCGTTTCCGCTGGGCTCTGGCACACAGTAGCAGCTCACGACTAGCTGCTGTGGCTGTATTTGTAGCCATTTTTAGGCTTCAACTGGTCCCAAAATAGTAGCAACACCTCATGAAAATCAGTCAAAAAAGCCCAAAAAAATCGGCGCCTGCGGCGGGCTTCCTGGGGCTGCGCGGCAGCCCCAGACCCCCTTGACTGGGTCCCCCCGAGAGCACCCCCGTCGCCCCCGGGGGGCCGTCGACACCCCAGGGAGGCGGAGGCGCGAGAGTCGGAAGGCCGCGACCGTCAAGAAATGAGTGAATCCATGTGAGGTTGCCGACTGCACTCCAAGTGCTCCAAGTTCCCGACACTTTCCTACAACCTACAACCCAGCCACGTACAGGACGGGGCGGCCGGGGGACCACCCAGCCCGGCCCCCGCCCCCCGCGCATGGGCCTCGCGCAAATACCGCAATACCCAATACAATTACAAATTCACTAGAATGTCAAGATTCTGATACTGATTTCTGTAATCTGTGTAAAAGGCGCGGTTGTCGCGAGATGAAA